TCATTATGATCAAATAAAATGGGTATGCCAAGTTTAGGATGATAAACACTAATAAAGTAAGTTGGGAATCGTACTGATTAATTTTAGGTGAAAATCTACCGAGCCGTTTTCTTGTAATGAACTGTTGAGAAAAATTTTAAGCCGATTTTCATCGAACTTTTTTTGGCGATATACATCATGGTCTTATAGAACTTACTGTAATATTACGGCATTACGACAAGTAGTTTAATTTTAAAAATTCGTCAAACTTTGCTAAAATTATTATCGTTTTTTTAAAGTAGGATTGATGAAGTATATTATCTACACATTTTTTTTGATTAAGTCAATTATTTTTACATATCGGGAAGTTCATGTAACTTGCCTCAAGGCTAAATACCAAACCAACTAGTTATTTTTTAATTCATAAAATACAATCAATTTTTTGTTTATTCAACTATAACTATTATGCGAATTAATGATTTCAAGAATTAATTAGGCAGGCATATATGTGGAAGACTATATTCTTATTTAATTTACTATGGGGAAAACATGTTGTTTCAGATTTTTTTATTTAAATTATTACAATTCCATAATAATATTCCACTAGAAATTCTTTTGTTCTATAATAACACGATGAGCTGATTTTGTGTAGAATTCAGAATTCTTATATGTATATTACATTTTTGTTACTCAAACATTAGTTAACCAATACAGCTTTTTGTATGCATTGATTACTCATTCGTTGAAGGGGCCCTAGAATACCTCCTTAGGAGACTCCGAAATTGATGGTATTTTGTTACAAATTATAAATTTACTTTGTTACAAAAATCTCTTTTTTTGTTGTAACACCTCTTGTTCATTATTCTATGTAAATAATTTTTAAAATTACATTTCTAGTATCAAGATTTATGTGTTTTTCCTGTAGCGATATTGACTGCATGTACATTCTTATTTATGGAAAACACGATTGTTGGTTTTGATCAAATTATTTCAAATACTCAATACGACTTACCAATTTGTTAATCAAATGCAGCTTTGAAAAGTCTTTTACTATAATGCATGCAAATGCATTTTTGTTTCAAATTGAATATGGTGTGAATCTATGCTATTTTCATGGCACATACTTGATAAAGAAATACATCTCGGATATAACATATTGTATTCTGATTTTCACCTGAAAATAAAAATGTGGTAAGCTAGATTTTAATACATGCATTTGTCATATACTTCCATAAAGAAACTGTGTTTGCAAATTCTGTGTTGAATTAATTGCCACCGAATTTGTATTAACAATAAAATATTTATAATACAGTTAGGGTTATATTTTATACATAAATATATAATTATATATAATGGTTTGTTTTTGTTCTATTTGATGTTATTCCAAAGATTTTAATATACATTTATATTATTTAGATAAAGTATTTTTTTTATAAAGTTGCTTTTTACATATATATTCTAGACAGATGTAGTTGTTAACTAGTTATTGATTCAATGAGCTCTTCAGGATGTAGTGTTTGTACCAGAATGAGGTATGTTAGATTTGAGTATGTCTACTTTGATATCAAATACTTAAATTGATAAGTCATGAATAAAAAATATTATTAATTAAATATTTAACTTAGAAATGAGATTTGTGGTATGACTAAATAAATTTGATGTTTGATTTTAAAGATCTCTCTTGGATCATTTTTGTATATCAATTTAAATTTTATAACTTGTGCACGGTAAGACTGACTTGAGTCTAAATAAAATTGTTATCTTATATGAATGTAAATAAAATAGAAAAAGTTTGTTAGTATGTTTGAAAATGTATTTTCATTCTTTAGATATCACTTCAAAACGAAACATTTTTTTTAGTTATATAAGTTTTTAACAATTCTTGAAATACTTGCAGTATAAATTAATAGAGTACTTACTCTAAAAAAAATCGAGCATTAATATAGATATAAAGAGATGTTATTTTATTTAAATTATAACGGATTTATTGTTGTTAAAATTAAAGGTTCAAACAAATCTTGGTTGTATTTCCGAATAAAGTGGCGCTCGAGCACATGCAGCGCCATGTTCGACCGAACAAACTCGCATGCTCTGTAGTCGCATATCTACAAGTTCTTTTTGCCCATCTATGGTTTATGCCTGTCTGTGGGATGTCATCATGGCATAAATTCATTTTCTCATCGGAGTTACTTGAAGAAGCATCGTGGAATACAGAGGCCCCCTTACCAATTGCTGCCTGGAGGATAATTTGGTATGTTGTAATTGTGCTAAATAGATTTCGCTTTACGGATTCGCTCGGATTTCATTTCGTGTTCGACAGTATTGCGTCATACTTTAAACATGACATGTGCTACAATTTATATAGTTTGCTCAAGTCGTATTAGTGCCATAGACGCACACCGTAAATATTCCATTTTATAATGTCTATTGTTAAATAAAACAATTTTGTTGACTAAGCAAGATCTTCCAATCGCAAGGCTATTGGACGTTGTGCAATATATTCGAAAAGTGATTGTGATTTGTGAATATGTTGGACTCGGTTATAAGACTTCCGGGAATATTTTTTTTTTATTCACTATTATTTATACAAATATAAAATACTGTTTTTCAAAGTTTTTCCTCACACAAAGTGAGAGTAAATCTGAACTGCTACTTTATGAACATTTTTATCGAGAGACTTAATCAGTTTGTGAGTTGTATATATAGTTTAATTTTAAGTGTTATTTAAATCATTAGTATGTGCTAACTCATTTCAATTTATAGATCAGAAGAATTGCATATGTTGGAGCACAATCTTTATGTTATCAAGAATTTTGAAGAACGGCTTTGTGCTCATACACTATTTTATTCATTTACTAGAAGGAAATGGCACAGAATAGTTCTTAGAATTTGATTGAAAATGAAGATGCAGATAAAGACTATTTTGTGCTTCTCTGGAGCAACTGCATAGTTCACGAAAGCAGCTTTGGTGACGTATCAACATTAGATAATAATATATCTGAGATGTTCATCATAATTTCATACTAACTTCTGTATTTTATAGGTGCATGTACGTTTGAATTTGTGGCATTTTGTGCAGAGTCTTTCAGTTTTTGTCACTGTAATGCACTAATTGTGGTCTTACTGGAATTGCATTTGGTATGAATGCATTTGTTGAACAGTGAATTTACCCAAGATTTCATTAATTGATACTTTTAGTTTTTGCTTTATCTTTTACAAATTTACGAAATCATTAAAGCATTGGCTTTTATGAATCAAATGACCATTTGCATGATTTGCATTCTTAGTTCTCATATCTAATAATACTAACAAATACTAACAACTACTAATCCATTCTACTACTAAAATATAATGTGGTCGTTTGAATCTTTTAAGTCTATGCAATGTGGATTTGAAGTAATACATTACATTTCAATTTTTACTGTTTCGAATTCATCTTAACGCATTTCATATAAAACCAAGTGCAATAATTAAACTGCTAGTAAATTCACAGAACTATATTTCTGGGCATCGAGATGAAATCACATGAAAACCACAACATATCATATCAAACAAATTGTTGAGTATCGAAGGGCCAAGTAATATCGAGTGAAAATTCAGTTTACATTTATTTTATTTTATTGATCCATTTTATTTTATATTATATTTATATTGTATTTATATACTTTATTTATTCTTTACTAGATCTACTGATTTGTAACCTCATATGTTTTTTAGGCATACATGATGGGACACTGTGATTATTACACACCGGTCAACTGGAATGATATGATTAAAATATTTGGAAAGCATCCAAAGTATGAATAACTTAGAAATTTATGTCATTTTTAAGACCACAGAAACTCCTAAACGGGACTAAGAAGTAAGTTCAAGTAAGTGTCTAAAAATCAATATTTAGCTTATCATTATTTTCATATGCTGTCAATTTTTTATTTTATTTCATTTTTTTATGAAACTCTCATCATTGAAAATTCGAACTTTATACAGAGCCTATCATGATGGATTGTTTGGTAACGCATGAGCACTTCTATGAAATCTCTAGGCAACATCAATGATAACATTTCTAATGTTTTTTTTATTTCAGATCCTGGTTCAACGACCAATTCAAAAATGCAAGAATATTCATTCCGACTACTTTACTAGAAATCTCTCTGTAAACATTACATCAGGTGTATGTTTATCCATAACCAGTATAAATGCAAATGTTGCTAAAATATTTTTTTTCTCAGGTCCTTTCAACTTCTGCTGCTCTGCACACTAACTCCTTCACCACGAACATTTAATCAGGAATGTGTTTATCCATAACCAGTATAAATGCAAACATTGCTAAAATATTTCTTTTTCTTTTTTCTCAGGTCCTTTCAACTTCTGCTGCTCTGCACACTAACTCCTTCACCAGGAACATTTAATCAGGTATGTGTTTATCCATAACCAGTATAAATGCAAACATTGCTAATATATTTCTTTTTTTTTCTTAGGTCCTTTCAACTTCAGCTGCTCTGCACACTAACTCCTTCACCAGAAACATTTAATCAGGTATGTGTTTATCCATAACCAGTATAAATGCAAACATTGCTAAAATATTTTTTTTTCTCAGGTCCTTTCAACTTCTGCTGCTCTGCACACTGACTTTTACCAGGAACATTTAATCAGGTATGTGTTTATCCATAACCAGTATAAATGCAAACATTGCTAAAATATTTTTTTTTTCAGGTCCTTTCAACTTCTGCTGCTCTGCACACTAACTGCTTCACCAGGAACATTTAATCAGGTATGTGTTTATCCATAACCAGTATAAATGCGAACATTGCTAAAATATTTCTTTTTTTTTCTCAGGTCCTTTCAACTTCTGCTGCTCTGCACACTAACTCCTTCACCAGGAACATTTAATCAGGTATGTGTTTATCCATAACCAGTATAAATGCAAACATTGCTAAAATATTTCTTTTTTTTTTCAGGTCCTTTCAACTTCTGCTGCTCTGCACACTAACTCCTTCACCAGGAACATTTAATCAGGTATGTGTTTATCCATAACCATTATAAATGCAAACATTGCTAAAATATTTCTTTTTTTTTTCAGGTCCTTTCAACTTCTGCTGCTCTGCACACTAACTCCTTCACCAGGAACATTTAATCAGGTATGTGTTTATCCATAACCAGTATAAATGCAAACTGCTAAAATATTTCTTTTTTTTCTTAGGTCCTTTCAACTTCTGCTGCTCTGCACACTAACTCCTTCACCAGGAACATTTAATCAGGTATGTGTTTATCCATAACCATTATAAATGCAAACATTGCTAAAATATTTCTTTTTTTTCAGGTCCTTTCAACTTCTGCTGCTCTGCACACAGACTCCTTCACCAGTAACATTTAATCAAGTATGTGACTATTCATAACCAGTATGAATACAAACTTTATTAAAATGTTTCTTTTTTGCAGATTTTCTCAATTCAACTATCACTGCCCTGATACTCAAAACATCATGAGTTTAAAATACTCATTCATGTAAATGATTTGCAAGTGGTTTTTTTTAATGACTGGCTATAATTATGCATGATTAACTTAAATCTTATTAACTCACTAACACGACTAACCTCACTAACTTAATCAGTTATTATAAAAACCACTTGCTGAGTTTTACTATGAAGGTCTTACTGATGTTGCTTGAAAGACAGCGCTGACTAATTTATCAGGTGATTTATTTTTTATAGTATATTATATGAGACTTGTTACTAATTCATTGTTTTTGTTCATAGGTTGAACAACTTCGAGCTAAGTAGTCTTCAACTCTGGAATTACTCAAGACTTTTTCTCCAGTGAAAATAATCGCTCAATCTTCAAATTATGCTGTCCCAAGTAACTATCTCCGTCTTGTCGTCAGAGAAGGTGTCTACTGTGATATATTGAATAGTTAAGTGCATAGATGTTGATGAAATAATGAATAAATATATTATATTTATTTTAATTGATTGTTTTAATTTATGAGCCACTTTACGGCCAAATTACATTATGATGTAACGTAAATTACAAAAATATTTAAACCTATCCGAATTTTAAAAAATTCTTGTGTTAATAGGGATACTTATTGAGTGCACTTTTTAGTGGAGACAATTGTGTAAAACAGTTTGTTTACTGTTTGGGTGTCTTGAAATCTTGGTCAACTTCTTTAAACGTTTGCTTTGTCTCGGTCAAAGTCTGCGTAAGTGCTTTGACTTGTAGAACTATACACTTGGCTCTCTTGATAATATTGAATTGACTTAAAAATGTAGATTTTTTTTGACATGTTTAAATTGACTGTAAAGCGTGTACTAGACACTTAGCCCTTGTGTTGTTGAAGTGCCTTAAACATTTAATGTGTCGGACCGTTGACTTCTCTAAATTAAATATTGTGTTTTCTATTACTCCTTTAAATGATGTACTTTTCTTAGCTATAAATATCAATTTAATATCATACTGTGCTATTATATATCTATATATATATATATATATATATATATATATATATATATATATATACGTGTATCTATTTACATATATGTGTATGTGTATACATATATGCATTCATTGTTTTGCGTTTATATATACATATATATGTTATATTAATTTTTCATTGTAACTATTATCATTCCATAACTATTATCGTTTTTCTGTTAATATCTATACTTTTTCTTAATAATTTTCTCTTTATTCACATTTTTTGGATTTGATTATGGATGTCTTACACATGTATATATTTTTACTATGTTCCTACTGCGCATGATCGTTGAGAAAATCTTCGTAATATGAAACCACTAAAATTCTCTCTATCCCGTTCTCTCACCAATGACGATACAGTTTCCACTATTTTCCGCAAACACTTACGCACACATTTTACTCTCGTACACACTCGTAATACAATTTCCAAACTAACAACATGTTCGTTTGGAATAAGCTTTTTTATAATAAAATATATCATTTATTTTAATTTTACATTTTTTTTAAATTTTTCATAACTAGACGTTTCATCAATCTTTTATTTCACATTTATTTATTTTTTCGTGCAATTTTGTGTTTCTGTGTTGTTTTTCAAAATTTATTTGTATGGGGAGTTTCTTTACATTTGTTTATTTTATGGTTGTTTTTCATATATACTTTTCATATACACTGTTTTACTTATTTTTGGTTGTTAATTATGTATTTTTTATATTGTTTTAATTTGTAACCCTGAATTATTTAATTATAGCACTGAAAATGGGTCAAATCAGGACCCGAAACATATGTTCTTAAAATAAAAACATTTTTCATTAAAACTGTTTTTTTTATTACTGGATGGATGCCCAAGAAACAATTTCATTATATATATATATATATATATATATATATATATATATATATATATATATATGAGTAATATATATATATATATATATATATATATATAATACATACAGATATATAAAATACAATATCTATTAAAATAATTACAAATGTTAATGTGTTTTAGTCATTTTCATTATTGCAATAAATTAATATAATTGAATTATAAAATATTGTTATACATTAAGAGTTTTGGATAAAACTAACTAAACTTTATTTGGAGTGTTTCATTTCACACCATTTTCAGTGATATATATTAGAAACATAAGATACAGGTACAGGTATATATAAAAACACATAATTTTGATGTTGACATATGAGTAAGTTCTTGAGGGCGATATATCAAACAAAGAAATTTATTTGTTTGATGTATTGCCCTTAAGAACTTACTCATATATATAAATATATATATATATATATATATATATATATATATAATACATACAGATATATAAAATACAATCTATTAATATAATTACAAATGTTAATGTGTTTTAGTCATTTTCATTATTGCAATAAATTAATATAATTGAATTATTAAATATTGTGATACATTAAGAGTTTTGAAGAAAACTAACTAAACTTTATTTGGAGTGTTTCATTTCACACCATTTTTAGTGATATATATTAGAAACATAAGATACAGGTGCAGGTATTATAAACTGATAAGCTAATGTTATCATAAACATTAATATACTCATTAATTCGTTCTTCGAAGAGGATTCAATATTTTGAATACATTTCATATAATATAATTTTTGTAATCTAATTTTATCATGATCAATATTGTTAATGTAGTTATAACTTTGGCCATTTTAAATAGACTAATCTATGGTTTTTCACTCATTTCAAACATGTCAAAAATGTTAACATTTTTCAATCACTTTAATATATATTATTATTTAAAGTCTCAATTAGTTCATTTTAATCAATATACTTTGAATATTGGTCAGTTTTACTTAACTATAACTTATAAAAAAAAATTACTTAACTATAACTTATAAAACAAATTCAAGTTCTCAGTCTTGAGTTATTTACTTTTTTTTACAAGAATATCTTCATTGTTATTAATATATCTTTATTTTTATTCGCGTGATTATTACATTAATTACATTAATATTCTTACCAAATATACTCTACCATCTCCTACTTCTACTTTACACTACCTTACCATAACCTCACACTACCTTAACCTAATGCTAATCTACGTTAAGAACTGATACTTTTAACTTGCTTACCTTACCACGTCTCGAACCTGCTACCCTGTCCTCTCCAGCGACTCCCACCTCCTAACGCGCGACACCACGACGATCACGTTAGTAAACTGTTACAACGTAGGTGATATTGTATATTTTAAACGAAAAAAAACTAACAGGTCATATGGCCAAAAAAAGGTTGAGTTGGTATCGCCTCCGTTGGCGTAATTGGTAGAGTGATGGCTTCGTACCAAAAAGGTACCGAGTTCGAATCATACCTCACGACAAAAAAGAGTATTGTTCACGTTGCGGTATTTATTTAGTGTTGAATAACACAATATTAATATTTAGATATAACAAACTAACAAGTCATGAGGTCGAAAGAAAGCAGAATCGATGTGTCCTGTGCTGGCGTAATTGGTAGAGCGACGGATTCGTACCCAAAGAGTGCCGAGTTCGAACCATACCTCGGAACAAAGAATGGAAAGCGTGGAATTTATTATTTATTGTAAAATAGCACAAAGTTAAAATTTGGATTTAATAAACTAACAGGTCATGAGGCCGAAAAAAAGCAGATTCGGTGTGGCCTGTGTTGGCGTAATTGGTAGAGTGATGGATTCGTACCCAAAGAGTGCCGAGTTCGAATCATACCTCGGTGCAAAAAATGGAAAGCGTGGAATTTATTTATTGTAAGATAGCACAAAAATAAAACTTAGATTTAATAAACTAAGAGGTCATGAGGCCGAAAAAAAGCAGATTCGGTGTGGCCTGTGTTGGCGTATTGCTAGCGTGCTAGCTTCATGTCAACAGGGTACCGAGTTCGATTCATACCTCCGGACACAAAACGCAAAATAGCGTGACTGTTGACGCTGTGGAACGAGGTATGCACGGAATCACGTCCGTTCGAATTTGAGACCCCAGGCAGGTATGCTCCCCTCGATCTCGATTGAGAGGAGAGATACGCGCGAGAATCCCGCAACATCCCCTAATGAACCCCGCAGCAGCCCCGAAAAGGGGCGAGGGGGGATTATAGGGGGGTGTGGGGTTCACGAACCCGCGACCCTGTGGTCCAACCCTCCCGGAAAAGGGAGAGGGGGGACTATAGGGGGGTGAGGGTTCCGCGCGACGACCACCACTGGGTCGCGCCGGTTGAAAAGCCGGGTGCATCACAGGGTGGGTCGGTGTGCGAGTCCCTGGAGCACCCTCGAGTGCGATGATGGGGATGTGGGGTGAGGGAAATGCAGTGACGAGGGGAAAAAGGGGTGGAAAGATATGAGGAGGGAGAGATAGGGATGGCGGGAGAGAGATAGGGAGAGAGATAGGGGTGGTGGGAGAGATAGGGGGAGAGATAAGGAGAGGGAGAGGGGTAGGGGGAGTGATAAGGGGGGGAGAGGTAAGGGGGAGGGATGAGCGAGGGGGAGAGAGACGGAGGGGGGATGGATGAGGGAGAAGGACTAAACACATTTTACATAAAGGGCGCGGACGTAACAATGTGTTACGTCCGCGCCCGTCGCCTCATCCATCCCTCCCTCCGTCTCTCTCCCCCTCGCTCATCCCTCTCCCTCTCTCATCTCTCCCCCTCTCTCCCCTCCCCTTATCTCTCCCCCCTTATCACTCCCCCCTTTATCTCTACTCCCCCCCTTATCACTCCCCCCACCTTTCCCTCTCCTTATCTCTCCCCCCATCTCTCCCACCACCCCTATCTCTCTCCCGCCATCCCTATCTCTCCCTCCTCATATCTTTCCACCCCTTTTTCCCTCGTCACTGCATTCCCTCACCCCACATCTCCATCATCGCACTCGAGGGTGCTCCGGGGACTCGCACACCGACCCACCCTGTGATGCACCCGGCTTTTCAACCGGCGCGACCCAGTGGTGGTCGTCGCGCGGAACCCTCACCCCCCTATAGTCCCCCCTCTCCCTTTTCCGGGAGGGTTGGACCACAGGGTCGCGGGTTCGTGAACCCCACACCCCCCTATAATCCCCCCTCGCCCCTTTTCGGGGCTGCTGCGGGGTTCATTAGGGGATGTTGCGGGATTCTCGCGCGTATCTCTCCTCTCAATCGAGATCGAGGGGAGCATACCTGCCTGGGGTCTCAAATTCGAACGGATGTGATTCCGTGCATACCTCGTTCCACAGCGTCAACAGTCACGCTATTTTGCGTTTTGTGTCCGGAGGTATGAATCGAACTCGGTACCCTGTTGACATGAAGCTAGCACGCTAGCAATACGCCAACACAGGCCACATCGATTCTGCTTTTTTTCGGCCTCATGACCTGTTAGTTTATTAAATCCAAATTTTAACTTTGTGCTATTTTACAATAA